GAGCGTTTTGGAGCCGGGGAGGCCCTCGGCGGGCTCGCGGCCAGCGGCGGCGCGGCGGCGACGCAAGCGCACCTGGCGGCCTGGACCTCGCCACACCTTGAGCGATCGTCGCTGCCGGACAGCGGCGATCGTTCAAGAGTGTCGGGCGGGTGGCAATGGGGGGTGACCTACATTCGGGGGCGGAAAAGAGGGGGGTGATGACTAAGGGGGGGTGGATATCATGGCGGGGGCCATGAGATCTCCCCAGATTTCATGGCGCCTCTTCTCATTTCATTACGTCCCTGGCCCCCCCCCGCTGGGCCGCGCACATGCCGCCGGTCATGATTTGCACGCCCCCCTCTTGGACACCCCCCTCTTGGCTGCTCCCGATACATGGGGGTGGAGAAAAGGGTCCTAAAGGGGCCCTTTTCGGGGGTGGATAGGCCTCCTACCCCGACATGTCGATGAGTGAGTTGGCCGTTCTCGGTTCGCGAGAGGGCGTCGCGGCCATTACTTTTGCGGGTCCAGGTCCGTCGGTTTCGGTCCCAGGCCGCTTTCATTAAGGGAAGGTTTACTGAAGGGAGTGTTGTCCACCGCCGACCTTTTCGTCAACCCCCATTGAAGTCACCCTCCGTTACTCGGGTCGGGCGAAAGGGGGGGATTGGGAAAGGGGGGGTTACGAAATTTGCTGCATGCAGCTGGTTTCTTCCTCACCGAGTGGCCCATTCCTCGATACATAGCCGCCTCCGGCGCCGGGAGGCGCCGGGAAAATCAGTTACGCGAGCTGATTCTCAACCCCCCCTTTGCTATCCCCCCCTTTCGCCCGACCCGAGTTACCACCCGCCCGAGAGTGAGATCTCGACGCGGCGTCCGCAGTCAGCGTCCGCGTCGACGCGGCAGGATCGAGCTGTGGGCGCGTGGCACCGCAGAGGTGGCGCATCGGCCTGCCGGCGGGTGCCGCACGGAAGTCTCCTGCTCCCCAGGGGCGGCGGGGGCCCTGCAGAAGTCTTGCGAGGCGCCTCTCGAAGAGCAGAGGTGGACGACGATTGCTCCGCTGAACTTCGTCAGAGGAAGGTCAGCGACGGAAGCGGAAAAAAATCACACACGTCTGTGGGGAAAAGCACATAACAACACACAACATGACACACACGTCTGTGGGGAAAACGCACACACACACACACACGTCTGTGGGGAAAAAACACAGAACAACACAAAACACACACACACACACGTCTGTGGGAAAAACGCACACGTCTGTGTGTGATGTTGTGTGTTGGTGTGTGTTGTTGTGTGTTGTTGTTGTTGTTGATGATGATGATGATGATGATGATGAGGATGAGGATGATGATGATGTTGTTGTTGCTGTTGTTGTTGTTGTTGTTGTTGATGTTGTTGTTGTTGTTGTTGTTGTTGTTGTTGTTGTTGTTGTTGTTGTTGTTGGTGTGTGTGTGTGTGTGCGCGTGCGTGCGTGCGTGTGTGTGCGTGCGTGTGCGTGCGTGCGTGCGTGCGTGCGTGCGTGCGTGCGTGCGTGTGCGTGTGTGTGTGTGTTTTCCCACGCACTTTCCCACGGGGTCGACGGCGCGGGCCGTCGCGTGCACAGCCTCCCGCGCAGGGTCGCGCGATAAGCGCACGCCGCCCCCCGCGGAGCGTGCCGCGCCGGCGGCCCGCTCAGGCCGCGGCGTTGCGTCGCTGCGTCGTCTCGCGCAGGGTGATCAGGAGGGGAAAAAACACACAGACACAATTAATCGGCGATTCCCAGAAAATATGGGAAAATATGGGAAGTGGGGGGGAAGACAGAAACCCAGAAAATATGGGAAAATATGGGGGATATTTTTATTTGTGTGTATTTATTTGTGTGTTCCAGTTCCCCTTCAGGTGAGCTCTCCCGATCGAGCGCCGAGCGGGGCCCGACAGCCCACCCCGCCCAGGACCTGCGGAAAAGAGTCGCGGGACGATGGTTTGAGTATTTTGGGGCATGTTTTGAACATTTTCCTACTGTTTTTGCATGTTCCCGCGCAGGAAAAGCACACACACGAAAAAGCACACTGTGGGAGAAACCGCACACTGTGGGAACAAAAGAACACACAAACAAAACACACACGAGCGATGGGAAAAATACACGATCTCCCGATCGATCGCCGATCTCCCACGATCTCCCGATCGATCGCCCGATCGATCGCCGACCGGGGCCCGACAGCCCACCCCGCCCAGGACCTGGCGGCTCCGCTATCTTGGGGAAAATCACACATTGGTGGAAGAAAACACATGTGGGAAAGATCACACACTGTGGGAAAACACACACACAAAAGACACACACAGACACACACACTGTGGGGAAAAACCCACAGTCTGGGGGAAAACACACACACACACACGTGGGAAACAAAACACACAGTGTGTGTTTTTTTTTCCCACATGGCCTGTGGCCGATCTATCTGCGATGTACCGCTGAATCAGGGTCGGTGTTTTCTCCCCTCGAGCCGGGCCCCCCTCTGGCGTTGGCCCGCACCGTAAGGGGGCCTCTGCTGCGAACAACCTGGTATTTGCGGTCCACGTTCGCGGTGTTTTTTTGGTGGCGGATACCCCAGCCTGCGAATGAGGCAACTTGGGGGCAGCAGCAGTGGCAAAGTCGGTTGAAGCGAAGTTAGCATCAGTACCAGAGATTCAGTACGCAACCATCAAAAACTACAGGAAAGCCTGGCAAGACGTCAGCTTCTTGGCCTTAGAACATCCCCGTCAACATTGCCGTGGGAGCGTCCAGTTTGTGTGAGCATCGTTCGGCGCGCCCCTTCAAGGCAACCTCTGGGGCGGTCTGCAGCGATGACGGGGTCTAGATGCTGATGCGGTTGAGATTTGTTATGTTTTCTGGCTCCCCAGGACTCGCTGGATCGCCCTCGCTCCCGTCCCTGTCCCCGTCCCAGTCGGTGGGCGAGCCGATCCGCATCGGGTCGCTCAACGAGCAGTTCAGGATCTGGGGGCTGCACCACGTGGCATCCCAGCCCTACGCGTCCTCCTCTGATTTCTCCACCTCCTCTCTCCATTGACCTCATCCTCATCCCTCTCCTCCCCCATCCCCCTTTCCGCCCATTCCGTCTCAGGCCGAACCCCAGCCCATCAGCTAGTCAGGACATTTCGTGCTCAACGCTCGCCTAGCTTGCGCCACCTGGCTTGCGCCACATATACTGCGCCGCGTACCTCACACAACGTAGCTCACTCTACATGGGTTGCATCACCTAGATTGCACCACATATCTTGCAACACATTGCTTACACCACTTTGACTGCACCACATATATTACGTCACATAGCTCACACCACATCGATTCTCTGCTATAACAATAATTGGATCTCCCGCCTCACCCGCCCCCCCCCGACTGAAGGGTTCCCCTTCGCGTATTGCAACTTACAGACGATTCAGACCCATCGTCCATCCAAAAATTGAATTTATACGATTGCATTCCATCTAAACCGGCATCGCCCCCTCATCCTTTGCAACAGGAATTATGCGCGCCCACCGTCGTCCGTGCCGTGTGACGTCTTGGGGCTAAGTTGCTCGTGCTGTGGCCCCGCTTGTCCTTCGGCACAGGTGTCCAGCGCATTCCCACACCTGTGGCCAAGCCGGAGATCGGTTGGTAACTATTGGCGGTGTTCCACTTGTTTGCGAGGAAGGCGCGGAGTGCCTTCGGTTGAGCACCAGTCTGGGACGTGCTCGACTGTTGTGCGTGTGCAGCCAGTGAAGCTACGTTCCATTTGCCATCGGTGCGTGCTGCTCGATTGCTCAAATGGTTTTGTGTAGTTGTGAAACGTGTTTTCATATGATGTTGGGGGGTCAGCTCAGGAACCGTGTGAGCCAGACAAGCTGGCATCGCACCGCAATCCGTGGAATAGATTGGAAAAAGGGTCTCCATCCTAACCAGCCTGGGGTCTCCGTTGATATAAACACGTGTTGCCACTTTCAGTGGCGCGAAGCCGTGCGTGTACAGTGCACGGCGCTACACTCGGTCGTTTCTCAGCGCGGTGACGTCGCTGTTTTGAAGTGTGGCCTTCCCCCAGGAGGTTTCACCCACCCCATGGGGTGTACGTTGGGTTGCGGCATTGCGGATGCATACAATACAGAGTTTTGCGCGCACCATCGTTTGTCAAAAATTCGGTTGCACATTTCCATGGCGAAGAACCCAACCATATGCAGCTGTGAATACCGCAATTGTGAATATCTTCTTCGGTGTCGATCTTCGTGGGGCCACGAGCCGTGTGAGGGGTGTGCCGCAATGGATGGCGCGGACGCATGTGGACACCGCCGTTTGGGCCGTCGGTGGAGATCCCGATGGGAGACCACGAAACGTGCCAGGGGTGCCCCAAAATGAATGGCGCGGACGCATGAGGACACCTACGCTGGGTCCTTCGGTGGGGCTCCCTATGGGGCCACGAAGCGTGTGAGTGGTGTGCCGTAATGGGTGGCGCGGACGCATGTGGACACCGCCAAGCCAATGGGGCCCTCGGTGGAGTTCCTTGTGGGGTCACGAAACATGTGAGGTGTGTCCCGAAATGGGTGGCGCGGACGCATGTGGGCATTTCCATTGGAGCCTTCGGTGGAGTTCCCGATAAGGGCAACAAAACGTGTGAGGGATGTCCCGAAATGGGTGGCGTGAACGCGCGCGGACACTGCCAATGAGGTCTTCCGTGGAGCTCCCTATGGGATCACGAACCGTGTGAGGGATGTCCCGAAAGTTGTGACGCGACGCATGTGGACACCGCCGTTGGGGCCGTCGGTGGAGATTCCGATGGGGGACCACGAAACGTGCCAGGGGTGCCCCAAAATGAATGGCGCGGACGCATGAGGACACCTACGCTGGGTCCTTCGGTGGGGCTCCCTATGGGGCCACGAAACGTGTGAGTGGTGTGCCGTAATGGGTGGCGCGGACGCATTTTGACACCGCCAAGCCAATGGGGCCTTCGGTGGAGTTCCTTGTGGGGTCACGAAACATGTGAGGGGTGTCCCGAAATGGGTGGCGCGGACGCATGTGGGCATTTCCATTGGAGCCTTCGGTGGAGTTCCCGATAAGGGCAACAAAACGTGTGAGGGATGTCCCGAAATGGGTGGCGTTAACACATGCGGACACTGCCAATGAGGTCTTCCGTAAAGCTCCCTATTGGATCACGAACCGTGTGAGGGATGTCCCGAAAGTTGTGACGCGACGCATGTGGACACCGCCGTTGGGGCCGTCGGTGGAGCTCCCCACTGGGCCACGGAACGTGTTGATGGTGTGGCGAAATGGGTGGCGGGGCGCATGTAGACACCGCCACGGGGGCATTCGGTTGAGCTCCTTGTGGGGCCACGGCACGTGTGAAGGGTGTGCCGACATGGGCGGCGCGGACGCATGTGGACACCGCTATTGGGGCCTTCGGTGTAGCTCCCTGTGGGGTCACGAAACGTATGAGGGTTGTGCAGAAATGGGTGGCGCGGACGCATGAGGAAACCGCCACCAGGGCGTTCGGTGGAGCCCCCCATGAGGCCACGAAGCGTGTGATGGGTGCCCTGAAGTGGGTGGCGTGGACGCATGTGGACACCGCCACCAGGGGCCACGAAGCGTGTGAGGGGTGCGCCGACATATGTGGCGCGGACGCATGTTGACACCGCCATTGGGGCCTTTGGTGGAGCTCCCCATGGTGCCACGAAGCGTGTGATGGGTGTGCCGACAGGGATGGCGCGGACGCGTGTGGACACCGCCACAGGGGCCTTCGGTGGAACTCCTTACTGGGCCACGACACGTGTGAGGGGTGTGCCGGCATGGATGGCGCGGACGCGCGTGGACATTGCGATTGGGCTTTTTGTTAGAGTTCCCAATTGGGGCCACGACACGTGTGAGGGGTGTGCCGAAATGGGTGGCGCGGGCGCATGTGGACACCGCGCTTTGGGCTTTCGGAGGGGCTCCTCATGGTCACACGAAACGTGTGAGCGGTGTGCCGAAGCTGATGGCGATGATGGTGATGATGACGGCGATGATGGTGAGGATGACGATGATGATGATGGTGATGATGACGACGATGATCATGCTGGTGGCGTTGATGACGGCGTCGGGACCGGCAACAAAAACGGCAAAACGGAACCGATAGAAAAACGGCCCTGTCGTTTCCAGGGCCCAAGGGGGACCGGGGAGGGGGAGGCGGGGAGGGAGAGGGGGAGGCGGAGGAGCTATCTAAAGGGGCCCACTACGGGGCCCACTAAGGGGTGGACGCGGGGCGCTGTCTCTTCGAAGCGAGGGCCCAGCACCACAGGATGGTTGCGCACCATGGGACAAGGTGCGCACGCGCGCGTCGCGCGCGTGCGCCGACATCTTCAAAACCGTAGGTGGATCTCAAAATCGCGTGCCCTGGTAATGTATGGAAACACCTGGTTCCGCGACAAGAGTTTTCAAAACAGATCTGCGTCCGCGCTCTGGCAGATTCGTAAAAAAACCATCGGTTTTGGTGTTCAGCATGTTCGTCAAACGCTATCAACTGTGCCTCCCGCGCGCCCATGCCGAAATCGCTCGAACCACTTTGCGCTCGTGCTGTCGCAAGAACCCCTTGCAACAGACGCACTCGCGCGCATCGTCGCGCGCGCATGCGGCAATCTTTCCCAACCATTGGGTTCCGTAAGGTGTTCGAAATCGAATTGTTTTACAACGTCAGTTTTCAAAAAACACTGCGCTCGCGCCCTTGCGATTGTTTGAGAAAGCCATAGGTTGTCCGACATTGTCAGGTCAAACGGGCCTCTTGCGCCGCATGCCGAAATCATTCGAACGCCCTTGCACGCGTGGTGGGGAGGGTACGATCTTTTGCCAAATAGTACAGTGCGGGCCACTCTAGCGCGTCAGCCGAGCGCGCATACTGGACTTCTTCCATATCCTTCATCACCGACGCGAGGACGCCGTCATCGTCGTCGGCTTGGCAGCATCGGCGCCGTCACTGGCCTTGCCGCCGTCATTGCCATCATCATCGCCAGCATCGCCATTACTATCATCGCGTCCACCGCGGTCGATGTTGACGTGATGCCGCGCCCGCCTAAGTCGCCGACTCGCATGGAAGTGCCAGCTGGGAACTGCCCGGCGGTCAGCACCACCGCGGCCGCGTCGGTCGCGCCAAACTAGTTGGCCGTTTCGCGCGCCAGCACGCGCGTAGCGCGGCCTCGGGGACAAGCCAGCCAACACCGAGCAGTCATCGCAATCGTTGCCGCATGGGTTTTGCAAGCCAAGTCGCGGGTGGGCGGTTGGGGTGGTTGTGCGAGCAGTGAACTTGACAACTGCAAGGTAAGCAGGGTGATTTGCACTGCATTGGCTGCAACATGCACAGCGTCATATATCCCGCCTGGTTAGATTGCACCGCATTGCTTACTCCACGTAGATTGCACAACATGTATTGCACCACGTATATTGCACGATACAGCTCACATCGTTTGGACCGCACCACATTGGTTACACCACATATTTTGCACCACGTAGGCGCCGGCGTTGGTGCTGTCGTCGGTGCTTGCGTCGCCGGTGGCGTAGGCTCTGGCGTTGGTGCCGGCGTAGGCGCGGGCGTTGGCGCTGGCATCGATGCTGGCGCTGGTGCTGGTGTAGGCGCTGGCGCTCATGCCGGCGATGCTGGTGCCAGCACTGGTGCAGGTGATGGCATTGGTGCCGGCGGAGGCGCACGCGTGGATGCTGGCATTGGCACTGGCGCTGGTGCCAGCGTAGCACCAACGCCAGCACCCACGCCGACGCCGACACCAGCACCGACGCCAACACCAGCACCGTCGCCAGCAGCCGACCCCAGCACCGAAGGCGGCAGTACCAAGCGCCAGCAGCGCCGTGCAGTCCTGGCACCTGCAGACGCAGCCGCAGCCGCCACGGCAGCCCGAGGACCTGTGTCGGAATCGTGCCAGACCACGTCGTGGCGCTGCGCCACGGGTACTTGCAGCGTGGCGTGGAGCAGCACGGCCGGGTGCGGAAGAACGTGGCGGACCTCTGCGGGTGCGACGTGTCGATGTGAGTTCTGTGCGCGGCCCCGGCCCGCCTGGCGGCGACCGTTTAGGTCGCCACGGGGCGTTGCAGTCAGCGCAGGGTGATGCAGTCAGCGTTCCTCGTCCTCATCCTCTTCTCCTCTCTCCTTCCTCCTCCTCTGCCTGTCTCCTTTTCGCTCCCCCGTGCACGTCGTGTCACTCGGCCCTGGGCGGTGGCCGCCTGGTTGGAGATAGGTTGCACGACGCTCTGCTGAATCTCCCCCCCTCCCCCCCCTCTCCCCCGAATCGGTTGCTTTACAGCGCACCGCGTGCATGAGCACTGCGTGTGGACCTGTCTGCGCCCGCCGCTGGTTGACCCTGGCCTCTGGCCACACGCCAGGCTTGCCCTGACGCCGCCACCGTCATGGTTATGCGCGTTTCTTTGCTCTTGTGCGCTCGTGTGCCCTCGTTCGAATGTCTTGTTTTAGTTGGCGAGTGTCTGCACCCAGCCGCTTTCACCCTCAGGCGTCTCCCTTGCAGCTTGTGGAGCTCCGTCTTCTTCCTCGCGCTCGTCCCCTCCCCGCTCCCGCCTCCGACGTGGTAGGATTCTGGAGTTGTTTCTTATCAGCCACGCCGCCGCACGGGCTTTGACTGAGTATGCACTGTGCGTCACCCGTTATGGACTCGTTGTGTGAGGCCTCATTATATAAGTGGTCGTTTTGACCATGTGGGGATTGATGCACACACGGCGCCGCGGTCCGTTTTCGTTTCCTCCTCCTCGTCATCCGCCCTTCCGCCGGGATCCCAAGTCCGGGGCCATTTCAAGTTTTGGCTTCCGTCCTTGCCGGGGAACTGTAACGACGTCGTATTCAGCAGGCTCTGTCAGAACGCTTTGGAGTAGAGGACTGGTATCATAGTGTGCATAAGGCGTTCGGCTGTCGCCGAAAGTCTGGGTGGCTCCTCGCCCCCGGGTCGCGTTTAAGGGGCCCTCAGCTGCTGTGTCTTCATCGAGAAAAAAACAATATATGTTGCACCGCGTAGCCCATAACACAGATACGGGTACCCAAGCTCATGCCGCATGCATTGCACCACGTACCTTGCACCACGTAGCACGCACCACCTGAAGTGGACCACCTTGTATGCACCAGCAAGCTTTACCCCACGTAGTTTGCACCACATGTATCGCATCATATAATATGATAGAACACGCTGGCTGGGGTCCACGCTGGCTAACGTAAGTGCGCGTGTGTGTATATATAAACATAAATGCATATACATTTAATTACACATGTTGTTTTTACATATGTATGGCCGAACCCCATGTACTAGTCCCTCCCATTGTTTGTGGAACGTACGCTTAAACATGGTGGTGTGTTTGCTTCTTGCGTACGCCAATGTAGGTGCATCCTTTGGCTACCAACGCATCATGTAGGTGCACATATGTATATATAATAATAGATGGTTTTTTGTATTTATACACCTGTTCAACGCATCGTGTTCTGTATAGTGACGGCGTGCGTGTAGCTGCTTGTGTGTATAATTTCAAATTGATGTTTATGGTGGCGGATTGCGAACCCATTCTTCGAGTGGTGAAGTACACATTGTTCCGTTGCGTGGCGAATTCTAATTGGTCTTGCTTGCTACGGAATGACCTCCGTTGTGCCGATTGGCGAAAAGAAACATATTATTAGCCCCCGCGAACAGGAATATTGTTGCAAGGGTGCCGCCCAACAGATTTTTTTGCAGGCCGCTGCGCAAGAATTTATATATATATATATATATATATGTATATATATATATATACATATATATATATATATATATATATGTGAGGCGCCGCGCAGGGAATCTGTTGTTGCGGCGGGTCCTGGGAGCAGATTTCGAAGGCCCTAACAATACAAGAAAGATGACACCAACATGTCAAAGCGGGCACCATAATCATACAGTTGCTGACGCACTGCGTGTTCAAATGTTTTACTTAGTTCGGAGCCAAACAACCGTTGGTTGCATTTAACAAACAAATGACTTTCATTTGTTTTAGCTGTTCAGTTTGACACGTGTAAAAAAAACACATGGTCTTTTTTGCCTGCCCAGGAATCACTGTCGTTTAAGATTCGCTTTCGTGGCACACCAATACACATCAATGAAGACTATACGCTTTCACAGTGGACTCATGGGTTGTGGTTCTGGAACAAATGCGTCCCACCCCCCTTCTTCTGCCCGTTCGTCTATCCGCTTGCGATCCTGCCCGATCATGTGCAGCCATTGCCACTCAGTCATCAGCGAGGGTTGCATCCTATCCCTGCCGGCTCGCCGATGCTAGGTCTCACCATTATCATCATCCAGACTCAATCACATTCATATTCACCCATACCCACACGCAGGTTCATCCATGTTGAGACTCACTCACACTAAGACTCCCTCACGCTTGGACCAACAACTTGTCATACCCATCATAGCCATACTCGTACTTACTCACACAGACGCACTCATATTCAGACTCACTCGCACCCTGACTCACTCACGCCCAGAGTCGCTCGTATTCAGGCCCACTCGTATGCAGACTTGCTAGCGCCCAGACTCGCTCACACTCAGATTCGATCCTGCTTGGGCTCGTTCACATTCAGACTCACGCTCAGAGCACGGACGCTCAGATTCACCCACGCTAGTGGTAGGCGTGGCACTTGGGCACTCCAAGGGGGGGCCCGCCAGCGGTGGGGACACTCCAGAAATCGCGCCCAGATTGTCGGGCTGCCTCAGGCGGGTTACCTGCTTCGGCCCCCCTCGGATTTGTCATGTTCGTCCAGTGCTCACCGCGATATATCAGGCGTGGTATGTGGGCACCCCGCAGGGGAGCCGCCAGGGGTGGGGACACTCCAATCGATTGCGCCCAGATTGGTGGGGTGTCCCAGGCGGTTGGCCTGCCTCGGCCCCCCCGCGGCTCATTTCTTTTCGCGGTCCAGTGCTCACCGATTCGTAGCAGCCGTGGCACTTGGGCCCCCGAAGGCTGGGAGCCGCCAGGGGCGGGGCCCTGCCAAAAGTCGCGTCCAGAGTGCGGGGATGTCCGGGGCAGTTTGCCGGTGCTGGTGCTGCGGCGCGCACGGTGGTTTGGTGCAGACATGCATGGGGAGGATGCCCAGCACGGCGAACCAGCGTCTGGCAGCAGCGGTGTCAGGTCAGTGGCGGGCCCTGGTGCCATCGGAGCGGCTGGCCGCTTTGTGACCACGTGCCCTTGAATGCGCGGTGCTCGGGTAGCTCACTAGGTCTGGGCGAGTAGGCGTGCGGATGCGCAGTTTGCCGGTTTCGGCCCCCCAGGCTCGTTTGTGATAGTGCTCCAGTGGCCACCGCGAGGTAACAGGCGTGGCACTTGGGCACCCCAAGGCGGAGCCGTCAGGGGCGGGGACATCCAGACGTCGCGCCCAGATTGTGGGGATGTCTCAGGCGATCTGCCTGCTTCGGCCTCCCAGACTCGATTCCTTGCTTGGTCCAATGTTCACCGCGATCTAGCAGGCGCGAACCGTGGGCACTCTAAGGGGGAGCCGCCACGGGTGGGGACACTCCAAAAGCCGTGTCCAGATTCTGGGGATGTCTCAGGCGGTTCGCCTGTTTCGGCCCCCCAGGCTTGTTTTCTTTTCGCGGCCCAGTGCTCACCACGATATGGCAGGCGTAGCTCTTGAGCATCCCAATGGGGAGATGCCAGGGGCGGGGGCATTCCAAAAGCTGCGCTCAGACTGCTGAGGCGTCTCAGGCGGTCTGCCTGTTTCGGCCCCCCAGGCTTGTTTTCTTCTTTCCGCTGACCAGCGCTCACCACGAGATGGTATATAGCATTCTTGACACTTGGGCACCCCAATGGGGAACTGCCTGCCAACGGTGGGGACCCTCTAGAAGTCGTATTGTGGCAGGCGATTTGCCTGCTTCGGCTCCCAGGTTTTTTGTTGTGGTCCAATGCTCACCGCGATAGAGCAGGCGTGGCACTTGGTCACCCCAATGGGGGAGCCGCCAGGGATGAGGGGCAGTCCAGAAATCGCGCCCAGATTGGCTGTTTGTACTCTCAGAGCAGATTGCGGGAATGCATCAGCCAAGACGTCTGCTCCAGGCGAGGCGTCGGTTCCTCTCTTTCTTTTTCCTCCTTCCCCTCCCTCCCTCCATTCCCCTCCTCCCTTTCGTTATCCCCTTTTTCCCTCCCTCCTCACTGCCTTTCTTTGTCCTTCGCCCTCCCGTCGGGCCGTCTTCGTTTTCGGCGTCGTCGTCGTCGTGCTTGTCGCGCCCGTCGTCTACACGGACTCGCTTGCACGCCCCGCTGCTCACAGGCAGAGCTCCCGAAGGAGGCGCGACAGGAGTATGATTTTCACATGCGGGGATCTTCGCGTCGAGTAATTTCTCCTCTTCCTCCTCCTCCGCGTTGCCCCTTCTGGCACGCTCCTCTGAGCTTTTCGAGTTGGGGATCGACTACATACTTGATTTACCCCCACATTGATTTTTCGTCGAACCTACGGGAAATACTAGGGGAAATGCGGCGAATACTCACGCGAGAGGTTATGGCTCCTGCTCCTTGCCTGCTGTTTCCGCCTGGCCCGTCTCCTGCCTGCCCGCCCGCCTCCGCCGGCCCTTGGCCTCCCGCCTGGGCGCTCGTCGTCGTCTGCCTGCTCCTCCCCTCCTCCTCCTCCTCGTCCTCCTCCTCCTCCTCCTCCTCGTCCTCCTCCTCCTCCTCCTCCTCCTCCTCCTCCTCCTCCTCCTCTTCCTCCTCCTCCCCCTCCTGCCGCCGCCTCCCGTTCGTCGTCGTCGTTCGTTCGTGGGCTTCTCCCCTCCTCGTCCCCTTCCGCCGGACCGCGCAAACCTGCAGCCTGGAATCCGACGTCAGGACGTAGGCCCAAGGAGAACCTACTGAATTGCACGCGGCGCAGAGTGGCTCCCCCTGTGCGCGAAGGAGGAAGGTGCAGCGGGGCATCGAGAACGACAACGTCTCCCTGGTGCGCCGGATCCTCTGCACGCGCTCCACCTTCGACCGAGTGCAGGAAGAGGCGCACTTCTCGCGGCACCGGAGGACCCGCAGTTCATGTTTGTCGTTGTCGTCGTCCTCTCCTCGGCATGCGTATTCGATGCTCCCTTCTGCGCATCATCACTCTCGTCCCTGCCGTTCTCTCCTCAGTGTTCCTCTTGGAGCGCCTCCCTGAGGAGGAGGAGGAGGAGGAGGAGGAGGAGGAGGAGGAGGAGGAGGAGGGGAGGGGGAGAGGGGAGGGGGAGGAGGTCCTCTTCCTCCATCCTCCTCCTCCTCCTCCTCCTCCTCCTCCCCTCCTCCTCCTCCTCGTCCTCCTTTTTCCTCCCTCCTCCCCCTCCTCGTCCTCCTTTTCCTCCTCCTCCTCCTCCTCCTCCTCCTTGTCTTCCTCTTCCTCCTCCTCCTCTTCCCAGCACCCCAATCCTGCAAATAATTGTGAGGGTACGGGTTCTAGACAGTGTATTCCTGGAAGGGGACGTGTCCAGTTTTCGGGATCTTGAGCTCCTCCCCCGAAGCGTCTGTAATGCGTAGGCCACGTAAGGACAAAGGCAGAGGTAGGGATCGAGGTCAGACTCTCTGTGTCGTGTCTCTGCCTGCCTCCGCCTTCCTGCTCCCTCTGCCCCCCGTGTCCTCGTGTGTGGTGTGGTTGTGTCCTCGTTTTCTCGCTCTCCCTCTCCCTCGCTCGCCTCTGTGCTTGTGTGCGCGTGTGTGCGTGTGCGAGCTGAGTAGCCTGTCTTCGCACTCTCGGGACCTAGTGTCATTGTGCATTGTTCGGGGTGATTTCGTGCGGTTTTTCGACCCTGACGTTATCCAAGGTGTTTCCAGTTTGGGTCACCAGTCGTGACGGGAGTCCCGAGTCTCAAGTTTCGCGAGAGGACTTGCCCTCATCTATGCGCACAGCGGTCAAGTGTCAGCAGATTGCAGATGCAGGCTAGACCAGATGCTGAGTACCTGCTCCTCCTCCTCCTCCTCCTCGTCGCCTCCCCCCTCTCTCTTCCCTGCCTCCCTGCCTCTCTCCCGCTCCCTCCCCTGCCTCCGCCCCCACCCCTCTTATACGAGGAGGCGCGCGCGGCCCCCCCCCCTCTCGCCCTCGCCCTTCCCCCCTCGCCGGCCCCGCGAGGACCGAGCAGCTGCTGAGGCGGCTGCCCGGCCCGGAGCGGAAGGCGAGCCTGGCGCCCGGGAGGACCCCGCGCTGCTGCGGCGGGCCGCCGCCGGCCGCCGCCGCCGCGGGCCGCCGCCGGCCGCCGCCGCCGCGTCGTCGCTCTCGCCGCCGCCCCGACGGCGACTCCGCGCGCACCGCGCTCGGAGGGCCCAGGAGGTCGGCGCCCTGGCGCCAGGATCGGCGGTGTGCCTCCACCAGGGGAGGGGGTCCCGATCCTGCTCCAGTTGTGTTGAAACGTCGGATCTTTGGGGTCGCGTTTTCATCGCCCCCCCACCCAGAACCGCTCACTTCCGTCCGTTTGTCCGTCCCCCGCGGTCGCGCGCGCTAGGGTTGTGGAGGACGATTAATGGAGAGGGAGCATGCTGCCAAATAATTTCCAGATGCCTAAGAGATGTTTCAAATATGTTTTACAGATGTTTATATATACATATGACACATTTATAGAACATGTTTTCCACATTTTAAACACATGTTTAATTCAATGATCGGATTGTTAGAGTGCCCATTGTCATGGCATCCACAACGCTAGGGCGTCGTATTGCGCCCCGCCGCCAGGCGCGCGCGCTCGCGCCTGCTCGGGCGCGCCGCACACGGGGCGACTGGAGGGGTCGGGGAGGTGCGCTGAGACTCCGTTCGGATCTCTCCAAACTCGGGAACTGGAACATATACAGTACCAGTGGCGGGCTGTCTTTCAATCCCAAGACTTTTTGAGGGTCGGGGACGACGTCGGGATGGTGTGGTGCATACTTCTCCCCCGTTTTCCAAGGGAAACAACGAAAAATGTATACACCAGGATCCCGTATACACCAGGATCCGCGCTCCTGTGCGAATTTCAGCGGAGGGTCGGAAAAAGCGTCGGTGTATAGAGTTCGGTTTCCTACAAATTCCCAACCCTGTGGCTAACAGGGTATCGATGATGCGCGCTATCTGACAGCCCGCTTCGCAGGACTGCGGCAGGCCCGTCTTCCAGCGTAGGGGTCTGAGGGCCCACTGCGGCGCTGGGAGTTTCTCCAAACTTTTGGGGGATTCGGTTGCAAAGCATGGGAGCCTTGTGTGCGCTCTTAGTTCCGTCTTCAGCGCCGATAACGTAGCGTCTGGGAATCGATGAGATTGCGTCGGTCAGCCGCGACTCAGCGTCGATGAGCGTCGATTTAACGTCGATTCGCGTCGATTCGCAAGAGCCGACAAGATGGTATGGGAGGCTCCCATGAGTTGCCACCGAAGGGGGGCCAGTCCGAGCCGTTGCCACCCCTCCGCTGGCCTGGCGCCCTGCAGTCCCTGAGCCTGGGCGCGGGTGGGCCGCGAAGGACGGCAGTGCCATCCGCGCCCGCCCTCCCATCCCCACCCCCCTCCTGCTCTGCCTGCCTCCTCCTCCTCCTCCTCCTCCTCCTCCTCCTCCTCCTCCTCCTCCTCCTCCTCCTCCTCCTCCTCCTCCTCCTCCTCCTCTCCTCCTCCTCCTCCTCCTCCCTCCTCTGGCTTCTCCTCCTCCTCCTCCTCCTCCTCCTCCTCTCTCCTCCTCCTCCTCCTCCTCCTCTCCTTCTCCGCCTCCCCCGCCTCCTCGTCCCTCCCCCCCTCCTCCTCCTCCTTTTCCTCCTCCTCCTCCTCCACCTCCTCCTCCTCCTCACATCATCCCCAGACCCCCTCGCGTCGTGAAAAAGGTAGCTTCGGAACGTGTCTGGCGATTTTCGGCCTCTCCAGGCCCTCACTGGGCCTCGGGACCGCGAACAAAGACAACTCGGGCCGAGTAACCCAAGCGGGTTCCGCGGACGGTGCTCAGGTCTCTGACCTGGGTACTCGCTAACGGGCTTGGGGGAGCCCGCCGAAAGCTGTGTTTGGGGGGCTCCTTCGGGCATTGCAGCGCAGCACTGCCCGCAATGGGAAGGGTCAGGTTCGCCCCCAACGCTGGCCAAAGAGCTCGTTCCCGGATTGCCCGTCAGGGGCGGCGCTGATCTGAGGGGAGTGGGAGGGGCTATATGCGCCGCGTCAGCTGGTCGGTCAGGGAGCTAGGACGCCCCAGCTGCCGGACCTGTGGGAGGCTGGAGCGCCCATACACCGCTTTCCTTCGCCGAACTCCTCGCCTCCCTGGCCGTATACGTCGAGCCCCTGCGAGGGAGGCACGCTGCGAGAGGGTCACCCTGATCCGACGTGGCGAAATAAGCACCGCACCGTGAGCAAAGCACGGTCGGAGCCCCGGACCACCTCTTTCGGCGCCGTTTTTTTTTGTTTGTCCGAACAGCATCGGCCTGCGAGGGCCCTGGGCCCCAAGCGGGGCGAGCACGCCCAGCTCGAAAAGGTTCAGGAGGGGAAAAAACACACAGACACAATGAATCGTCGATCCCCCAGAAAATATTCAGGAGCGAAAGAAGGACGTACATGTACATGAATCCACGCTGGTTTCGAGAGTACGCATTGCGCAAATGTTCGTATAACGCGGCCGGTCTCGCGGATCGAGGGGCCGTGTTCATGTACATAGCTGGGCGCGTACGTCCTTTGTGGGCTCCCTAAATATGGGAAAAGATGGGAATTGGGCAGGAGGGCAAAAACCCAGAAGATATGGGAAAAGATGGGGAATTCTGTTATTTGTGTGTATTTATTTGTGTGCCCTGGGGCCCCTGCATAGGTGGATCTCAGGGCACGACGTCGGGACGCGGGGATCTCAGGGCACGACGTCGGGGCGATGCTGGGCTCTCCGCTGCGGTGTCGAGCCGTCCATCCGCGCCGCCGGCCTGCCGCAGGAGCCCAGGGCGCCCCGCCCTGCCAGCCTTCCCGCGGGACTCGCAGGCGCTGGCGCGTGAGCTCCAGGCCCAGGGGCGCACGCGCGCCTCCAAAGTCTGATCTACACGAACGAGATGGGCACCGAAAGAATGGGTACAATGCCCAACAGCAGTTCCTGTTCATTTTGAACAGGATTCGCTGTCCGCGCCGCCGCGGCCTGTGTCCATTCGAGACAGAAGGCCGCCTGCCCAACAGCGGCCGCTGTTGGTTTGGGACAACATTTGTTGTTGGGCATTGTACCCATTCTTTCCGTACCCATCTCGGGCGTCCAAAGCCCAGGGGGGCGCGCGCGCCTCCAAAGTCTGAGGGCGGTACCCAGAGATCGCTCCAAGAAAGTGGGAGCGACGGGATTTGAAGAGTTTTCGGCCTCCGGGGCCCTCGCCGGGCCTCGGGAGTGTCAAACAACGGTTCTGCAGGACGAAAAATCGGACCCGGGGAACTGGTGGTCCGGACCTCCGGGGCCCACGCATCAAAAAAATTGTAGCAGCCAGATGTCTGGGTACTGGAGATTCTTGTATTGGATGCATACGAGTCGGGGGTGGACAGAACCCCCAACAGTGACACGTCGATTAGTGAATTGTCCGTTTTCGGTTCTCGAGAGGGCGCCGTGGCCGTTATTTTCCAGGCTTGCGCCCGCCAGGTTTGGGCCTCAGGTCGGTTTCACTAAACCACGTTTTACTAAAGGGGGGTCTGTCCATCCCCGAACGAGGGGCTCTTGGGGTGCTTTCTGGCACTCGTGGCGAAACCCTCGGACTGAGTACGTCTGCTCATCCCCCCCATGCCGTCGTGCAAGAGCACGCCGGCCCTCGGGAAGAGGTCCAGGCCCCTGAGCTCGACTGCGCGTAAGAGTGGCCCTCCGCTGGAGTGACCTATGGTGCGAGCCCGCTGGGGCCCCCTCCTCCTCCTGGTCCTTTCCTTCCTCCTCCTCCTCCTCCTCCTCCTTCTCCCAAACTCCTCCTCCTCCTCCTCCTCCTCCTCCTCCTCCTCCTCCTCCTCCTCCTCCTCCTCCTCCTCCTCCCCCGAAGGGGTCCGCTGGGGTCCCCGGATGGTCCCTTGCGCGCTCGTGTTCGGTTCCCCCGCGGCCCTCAGAGAGGCCGCGCTCCAAAGGTCACTCTTACCCGGGGTCACTCTTTCCCTGATGGTCTGGTACCGGAGATTTTTCGGTAGCGATGTCGACGCACCCCGAATTTCGGCAGCGGCCGGATCTTCGTTTGAGGGCGCTGAAAGAGCGGATTTCAGAACGGTCTGATACCGGTATTGGGCGCTACATTTCGGTATTTCGGTAGCGACCGATCTCTGCGGAGCGCCACCGGAAATTTTCGGTAGCGGACCATCAGGGTTCGAGTAGCCGGCGGTATAGGGGCCTCGGCTTTCAGGGGCGCGTTACACGGGAACACCCCAGACAAGCACCGCTTTGAAAACAAAAACAGGACATAGGCGATCCTCGATGTTCGGCACCTGTGGCCCGCACCATTGATGCATGCATATTTATAATTAGACACATCTATACACATGTATACACATACATGCAGACATACATACATACATACATACATACATACATACATACATACATACATCTATACATACATACATACATACATACATACATACATACATACATGCATGCATACATACATACATACATGCATGCTTGCATGCATACATACGTACATACATACATACATACACATACACATACACATACACATTCACATACACATACACATACACATACACATACACATATACATACATACATACATACATACATGCATGCATGCATGCATACATACATACATACATACATACATACACATACATACATACATATATACATACATACATATATACACGTACATACATACATACATACATACATACATACACACATACATACATACACACATACATACGTACGTACGTACATACGTACGTACGTACGTACGTACATACATACATACATACATACATGCATGCACACATACAGACATACACATATACATACACACATACATATATACACACATACATGCACATGTACGTACATACATACATACTTACATCCACACACATACATACATACACACATACATACTCACACATACATACATACATACATACATACATACATACATACATGCATGCATACATACATACATACATACATACATACATACATACATACATATATACATACATGCATGCATGCATGCATACATGCATGCATACAGGCAGGCATCCATACATACATACATACATGCATGCACATATATACATGCACACATCTGTACATACGGACATACGAACATACGCGCATACACACATACACGAGTTCTCGATGCCATTTTCGGCCTCAGGGGGGCCTCGCGACAAAACAACTCGGGATAAAACAACGTTCCTTGGGGAACGGGTCGGGGCTTCACGAGACCGCGTATAGGGAAGAAACACAGGACCTCGCATGTCTGCAGGTGCGGTCGGGGCCTCGGCCTGTCAGCAGCGCGGGCACGGGGGCCCTTCTTGCGGGTCATTTCGCGCGAAATTCCTCCTCCTCCTGCTCCTCCGCCTCCTCGCCTCCTCCTCCCTCCTCCTCCTCCTCCTCCCCTCCTCCCTCCTCCTCCTCCTCCTCCTCCTCTCCCTCCTCCTCCTCTCTCTCTTCCTCCTCCTCCTCCTCCTCCTCCTTTCTCTTCCTCCTCCTCCTCCTCCTCCTCCTCCTCCTCCCTCCCAGCTTCCTTTTTATAATTTTCCCGCTCCCGGTTCCCGTGCCTGGAACGGCGATTGATAAGATCGCCCCCGTGAAGGGTGCCCAGAATAATTGTTTGAAATTCGGTCCAGGTCCAGTTTGCTGGTCTTCTGGGAGGGGGCCAACCGACGCGCGTTGCATCACGCCTGCCCCGATGACAGTTCGCGTATCTACATCGTAACAGTATTGCTACCGCACGTTTGTTTCGTCAGACGTGCACCTCGTTCCGCTCTCTGGCTGAGCCCTTCGAGTGAAAGCCCGACAGCCGTGGCTTCATTGGGCAGCACTGACTTCAACTAAAGCACATACGCAATCAGGCGCCGAACAATGCAGGTTTTGTTTGCAACTTTCCGGCCTCGGGAGCGATGGCCGGAGCGGCGATCACCCTGACCGCCCCCCCTCCAGAAAGATTCCGTGGAGATCTTCAACGCCAGTTTGAAGTTGGTCAGCTGACATTTCTTTCGGGGTGGGAGGCGCCAACCAACGCGAGGTTCCTCGAGGGAAGAAAAGGCTGACAATGACCAACACGTCGTGGGATCTTGTCGACGTCGATCTTGGTCATGGCCCATGCTGGCGATCGCCGACTCGCGAGGATGATCGAGGATTCGACAGGGGCCAAGATGCACAGTGACCAGGATGGCATCGACGTTCCCCCGCTCAGTCCAAGTCATGGTCATCGTTTTCTTTCACTCCTGTTTTACGCCGGCCCCGACGGGAGGGCCCCGAGGCCGCTGCATCAGGGCCAGTGTGGTGCCAGTTCGGTCCTCGTCCCTTCGTTTTGTGCGCATTGCTTCCGGTCTTGGGCCTTCAGAGTGGAGGCCAGACCACGTCCTTGGCCTCACTGGCAGCACCAAGCGTCAAGTGCGGACACCGTGGACATTTGGGCTAAAGAAGTTTCGATTCATACCTCTTCGGCTAAAGCCAGCTCGTAGGTGGTTGGGTCCGGGATCGAGTCGCGGCGTTGATTCCGCGCGAATGTCTTTGCTCGGAGAGGCTGGGCACGCAGTGCCTATCGAAGTAACAGCGTTGGGTATTGGTGGTGATGTTGTATTTGGCCCAGAAATGGTTCATCCCTCATCGTCTATATGGGATCTGAAGGTTCGGATATTAGATTTCAGCGAGAAAGATCCATCTCTTCATTCAGTAATGCTTCTCCATGGTGCCAAGGGTTTGACCAACGACGAGCAGATTAGAACATGTGGCAAAGACGCGATCCAACTGACAGCTGTATTCTGTGCAGAAATCAGAGAAGGAGTTGTGGCTAAATTTAGAGGTGCATTTGGCTTTGTTCACAGCGCTGATGTTGCCAAAGATCACCCTCTTCGCGACGTGTTCCTCCACAAAAGCGATTGTCAGGGCTTCCGGCCGTGCGTTGGAGATAGAGTCCGATTCCATTTGACCTTTGATGATATTAGGGGATTCCCTAAGGCGGTAAAGGTGACTTTTGTTTGCGGAGGGGCGCCCGTGCAGGGGCGGGGCGGCGCGCCCTTGAGCGCGGTGGCGCTCGCTGCGGTCCCCCCCCTCGGTGCAGAAGCAAATGATCGGGGAGAGGCTGGTCTGGGCGACAGCGAAGAAGCAGCCAGAGCTCGCCGAGAAGATCACGGGCATGATGCTCGAGATGGACCATAGCGAGCTCATGGTGCTCCTGGAGTCCGAGGCAGCGTTGCAGTGCCAGGTGGACGAAGCCCTCCGCGTGCTCCGCAGCATACAGAACAACTGGGCGCAGGTGTAGAACGCCTTGTGGTGAGGTGAGGGTGTGTCGGTGTGCGTGTCTCCAGTGCCAAGTCTCTGCAGCTTCTAAAACGGTGGAGCAGTACGGTATCTATAGCTAGTGGTCTTCGGCCCATCCGCCATTGTGCCAAGGTTGTGGGTTAGAGGGCTCGTGGATGGGTATTGGGATGCATCTCGGGGACAACTTGTGCTCTTGGCCCCGGGGAAGGGGTCTGGAGCTTTGTGGGCCCCGGAAACGGCAGGGCCGTTTTTCACCGTTTCCGAGAAATGTCCCTTGTTAATGGAAACGGCAAAAAAACGGCGACCGGAAACGGCAAAAAAACGGCTCCAGGATTGGAACCGGAGCCGGAACCAGTCAAAAAACGGCGACGGAACCGGTAAAAAAGACGGCGTTGGAACCGGCAAAGTTAACGGCAAAACGGAACCGGTAAAAAAAAAACGGCCTTGCCGTTTCCAGGGCCCACTTAAGTTCTGGAGACCGATTTTGAGCGGACTCCCGCACCTCCGCCCATAATTATTTTGCCATCCCTGATGGTCTGGTACCGGAAATTTTCGGTAGCGATTTCGACGCACCCCGAATTTCGGTAGCGACCGGATCTTCGTTTGAGGGCGCTGAAATAGCGGATTTCAGAACGGTCTGATACCGGTATTGGGCGCTACATTTCGGTATTTCGGTAGCGACCGATCTCTGCGGAGCGCTACCGGAAATTTTCGGTAGCGGACCATCAGGGATCCGCGCCCCCTCAGAGGGCTGGACCGCTTCACCGGGGGTGGCTCTGCGCCCCGGAGCCGTTTCGGATGGCCATCATGGGGCCCGCGGGGAAGCGGCATTCTGGGAGATCCATCCTCGTTGTCTCCTCCTCCTCCTCCTCCTCCTCCTCCTCCTCCTCCTCCTTCTCCTCCTCCTCCTCCTCCTCCTCCTCCTCCTCCTCCTCCTCCTCTCTCCTCCCGCCTCCCTTCTTCCTCCTCCGTCCTCCTGCGTCTTCCTCCCTGCTCATCCTTGTCCTCCTCGTTCTCGCCCTCGTGCAAGTCCTTGTTCCCCACATGTTTCGTGGGGCTTTGATTTTCTTCCCACCTGCGCCGCACCCGCTGGGTGCGGGGTCAAAAGTCGACCTAGCTACAGTGGGGGCGCGTGCCAAGAAACCAGTTGGATTTTGCCAGGGTGCCCTGGGCTTCTTGGATGTCGATGGGCCCCCAATAAGATCTTGACGATTTTCGATCGACTAAGCTGGATTTTCACTGAACAAATCGCGGATTTCAGGGTTGGGTTGCTTGCGGAGGTTTCTTGTGGCCGAGCCCCCACTGTAGGGGCCAATCTAGGGGTGCACTTGGACAAGGAATCCGCAAGTAATCCAGCCGTGCTCCCGGGATCTCCCACCCGGCCAAAAACGAGAGGGAGACGCGCGAAATCATTTCGAAAAACGGGAAGTTCGCACCTCGATCGTCGGGAATCTGGGTTCCCAGACCCCGGACGTCATGCTTTTGTCATCACGTCGACCCCCGGCGGTCTGGGCCCATTCATTCCCTGGGGCCGGCTTCTCATCCTGAGTCGTGGTTTGACGGTCCCGAGGGCCTGTGAGGGCCCCCAGAGGCCGAAAACAGCGAAAAACATTGTTGGTCGTGATTTTCTCGTGACCCGAGGGGAGAGCATGCTACGCATGGAATGAAATGAGTAGAAGATGAGGTGTTGGATCCGTGAGTGGATCAGCCTAGACAGTATGAGGATCAGAAGCTATGATGCCTCTGTTGGTTGTGGGTCGGCTATGATGCCAACCTGTGCCCACCCCGTCCCGTTTCCAGGGACTTCGCATCCCCCTTTGATGGCGGGATGGGGAGACGGTCCGCCACCCCCGGCACTGCACGTACTGTGCCGGGTTCGTGGGGATTTTGTTGAATTCAATGAATGTCCCCTCCCTTCCCCCCCGTCCCGTCCCTCTATCTGCATGCCTGGTCCTGCGGGCGGAAAGGCCAGAAACGTATACACAGTTTTGACTCCGAGTCCCGGTGGCGATCCGAACCTGCAGGAGGGAGATAAATTGTAACACACCGGAGGTCACTTCCTCGACCGTTTAGATTGCCACCAAGAGTTGGCGGTGGGGTAGCCCGGGGACCCCGGCAAAACCAGCCAAACGATAGCGGATGGGCCGGCACGCCGGTTTTAAGCGGATAGGCCGGTACACCCAAAGTTCGCCACTGCTTAGGAGAACCTTCGCCAGTGCTTAGGAGAACACTTCGGCCTCAGAGGCACCGAAATTCGTGATGCGTGCCCCTTCAATGGAAGGAGGAGGAGGAGGCAGAGGGAGAGCCGGACCCACCGAGAAGGGAGGGGAGGGAGAGGAGGGAAGGACAGGAGGGATGGGGGGGTAGGGCCCTTTCTGGCCGCGAGCCGACAACCATGCAGCAGGTATTTGTGGGGGCCGATCCACCTCACATGCATCACAGCTGAAATGGCCAGTGGCGGGTGCCCTCACTAGCCCAGCTGTCAAACACTGAAACCGGGTAGCCCGACACCCCCGTCAAGTGGTCCCGGAAAGCACGCAAGGCCTCGGAGCGCAAGTTGTCCGGAAACGTGAAGTGGGTCACGCGCGCAACAATGCCCAAGATGATACCCCGCTTCGTGCCATCCGGGATGAAGCTGTAGTACGGCGAAAAACCCTCAAACTCAAAGGTGCCGCCCCTGCCCCCAAGATGGCCGATCGAAGGGCATGCCGCCACGCTGCCGTCCAAGTTGAGCTTCAGGTCAACACCTACAAATGTGAGGCTATCGTCTCGCTCGAGCGGTAGGGGGTACCGCTCTCCTGCTCGTCGTGCCAGGCGGCTGGAGAGCAGCCCGATGTCCCGAGCATTCAGGTAGGAAGGGCCCTTCCAGAGAAGGAGGTAGTCGTCCATGTACCGCACTTCGAGAAGCCACACCATGTGACCCAAGATAACGGTCTCATATACCCGGCCCCTGTATCCCAACGGGGGCAGTTCAGGACCATGCAAGGAGTAGTAGAAGGTAAGGTCACAAAAGATTAAGGCCATCCGGGTAAGCGCCGAACCCATGGGGCTGCCCATCGCCAGGCCCTCCACCTCCATCCCTACCAGCTCCCCCAACATGAAAAAACCCGTGAATAGGTGATGCCGTATGAGCACATCGATGTCGTCAATAGTGATGGTCATGCACTGGCCGTGTACTCGGGATGGAGGCGCCCCTGCTGATGACACTGCGCGCCTGCCACGGCGCGCCACGCGGATAGCCTGGATCGACCCTTGCAGGGTAGATCGATAGAAAGACCAAGCCCGGACGATGAGCTCGTGGGGCATGTTCGTGAAACAACTGACGACGTCGGAGCCGCATGCTCGGACCGGGGTAGATGGTCCGACCTCGGTAAACTCGCGGAGCAGCTCGATGATGGCGTCGGCCCTGTGGATGTCAATGTGGGCATGCTGAGGGAGGTAGCAGGCCCCTACCCAGTCCAGCGCCCGAGCCGCCGGCGTGTCGAGGCATGCCGTAGGCCAGGCCGAACGGTTGACGATGGGTCGGCGGTCGTCTGGCTTCGCCCTTTTCTTGTTGGGGGCGCTTGCCCGGGCCATCTTCCAAGCCGATGGCCTGCTGATGCGCCGGGGCTGCAGTTCAGGCGAGAGCCCAGGAATGTCGGCCACACGCAGTAGAACGGCCTCGGCAGTGAGGTCGGGGAAGTACTGGTAGTGCGGGTCCGTCCCGTCAGCTCCAAAAAGTTTATGGCATAGTAGCTGCACTCGCCGAGGGCACTCGGCGACCATTACACGGCGCGTCTTCTGGAAGGTCTCAATGACGAGGCCCTTCAGGGAACGCCGCATCTCGGCCACCTCCTCGTAGGTGACCGGTACGAAATCGAGGCTAGAGGGTGCAAGACCTGCCGTCCCACAGTAGGTATCAGCCGCCCGCGCCGCCATCTGCTCGAGCGGCCCGTCGTCCACCCCCGCCCCTATGGTCGCAGCCAGGCGTTTGGTGAGCTGGGTGAAGCTCTTAAGCAATATACTCCGTTCAGGAACGACCGCAACGTGAGCAGGGGCCGTCCGTAGACGAGACTGGTCGCCCTGCCACGGCCATGTCTCCTGCGGGGCAAAGATGTGGAACTGCCCGTCCGGCGACTCGACCCGGGGAAGCGCCGGAAAAGCATTGCACAAACACTCCCATGGCGCGGTCTCGTGCAACCGTGCATAGAAGCGTGGCGCATTGCGAAGTATCCTGCCAAGTGTGGAGGCTGGGCGTGGTGCCACGCCGATGCGAAGGTGGCGCAGCGCTGGCAGTAGCAGGCCGTAGCCGCGTGAGCGGCAGTGGACAACCATGTCCGATAGTAGTGAACGTGCCGCTCGTCGGGCGTTGCTACGTGGAAGCCATGGCAAGGATACGTGAATCGATGCACGAGGGATAGGCCAGCCCCGGAAGCGCCGCACGCGGTCCAGGAAGATGAGCCCCATGCGACGCGGTGGGCCCTCCGCCACTCGGTGGACCCTGCTCCAGATGGCGTAGAACTCCGCCGGCGAGACCTTGAAGATATGCCGGCGGCACTGACCAGATGTAGGTGAACCAAGCGTGTTGCAGGCACCGGCTGCCCACCAGCGGATCATGTCAGCGCCCTTCTGCACACCACTCCCTTCTCGTAGCGATTGGGGAGTGTCCTGAGCGAACTTGCGGTGCTGAGTTAGCCGTGCAGGAGGTGTGGGAGGGCAGTAGGTGTAGTAGTGGCGGGGCCTCCGCCCGCGTGGCCCCTTACCGTCTAGGAGCCGCTGCACGTATGGTTCATTCAGTGGCGGGTGCATCGTGTCTATGACGTGCCTCTCCAATGTCAAGAGCTCTGCGTCGTTCTGGGCGCGACCGATGGGCGTGAAGATAAGCGATGAGGAAGCCCTCGCAAGGTCGCCCCCAAAGAGAGCTGAGAGAAAGAGCATGTACGGTTGTGGTTTGTAGTTGCCCGGGTAGAGAAGTCTCTGAAGGTGCCGACGCACGCGGGCCTGGAAGTCGACCGTTTTGCCGACGTAGTAATGTTTATGCCAGGGACTCCAGATTATGTACACGACGAATTCGGCATGCAGGAGGTCCGGCGACGGTGGCCATGTAGAGGATGGGAGTGAAGATGCAAGTGTGCGGAGCTTGCTGTAGAAGGCGTGGGTGGAGGACATCAGGAAGGGTGCTGTGAGAGCAATGCCCATGCGGAGAAGCGCAAAAATGCATGGCCATAAGAAGACATTCTCGGCGCACACGCTGCGGAGGGCATGGCGGACCAATGCCAGGGAGGTGATGTTGCAAAATCGGATCCCGGGGGTTCTGGAAATGCACGGCATCCCGTCGTCGTGAAGATCCCAAACACCACCGTTTGCGCGGTGCGCTCCTGCGCGTGCACGTGAAGATAGTCAACGCTCGTCCGTGCGCGTCTTGGCCATGATGGCCGCCATGAGCTGTGACAGGTCCCCAATGCGCTTCTCGTCGAATCGAACGCCGAGCTCGGACGCCTTGTCCTTAAAGATCCCGAGGACCTTCGGGTCTGTCTTCTTCGTCCGGCCCTTCGGCAACACGATGGTATCGATCGCCTTGCGGTAGGCCTGGTAGCGTTGCCGATCCAACACCGGGGCCTCCTCCGTCGGCACGGCCTCGTCAATGGCCCAGTCGATGGTCTTCGTGGCCCTGGCCTGGTGCATGCGGTCAGGCTTGAACTTTTTGATGTCGTCGAGCGTGCACTGGATGGCCGTCTTCTGGGATGCCCTGAGGGGGCAGAGCGCCCGGAGCGCGTGAGACGACGCAGGCTGCGCCTCAGGGATCGCCTCCGTAGCCTCGACATGCGCTTGGCCGTGGTCCGCAAGAAGGGCGGCGACCGTGTGGGTCATGTTGGACAGGCACTCGCCTGATGTGGACTGCTCGGCTCGTTTGTACGGGCTCGGGTCGAGATCCAAGCGAGGAAGACCGAGAACGAGAAGGTATCCGAGTCGAGGGGCACGAATGGCACAATCTTTTGCAGGTTGCGCCTGGCTTGCGCCCGCATGATGTAGGGGCAGTACTCGTCGACGTTCTGGGAGATCTCCTTCCGGGTCTTGGCAGTGCACAAGGAGACGCACCTGCGCATCACCTCGGCGTTGCACTTCTTGCGCTCCATGATGAAGTCCTCCGTGCCGAACGGGAGGTCGGGCTTGCAGTCGGGAGGCAGGCCGTAGGCCGTCTCCAGGAGTTTAGATGCGACGGCGTCCCCTGAGAACAGCAACTCACGGACCTCCATGTCGGACAGCTTTTGGATGGCAAGCTTGGCGGCCTGCACCCTGCTCTCCGGCGCCCCGGGGCGGTTGGGTGGGTGCGCCTGGGCCTGGCCGTAGCCCCCGGTGCCTGGGAGGCCGCGAGGGGGGTGTTGGTCCCGGTGCGGAGCCCGATCGAGGCTCTGGGCACCGTGGTGGGGATCAGCCAGCGACAGGTGGGGCGGCCGCGCTGCCGGTGATGCCTTCGGTGTCAACCCGTGTGCCACCCTGGCGGGAGCCCCAATGGGCGAGGCAGGCGGTGTCTTCCCTGGGAGCCCGGGGCTGTGCAGAGGGCAGTCCCTGACGAGGTGGCCGCGGATGCCACAGTTGGGGCAGAGCAAGCTGTCTGGTGAGGGGAGCCGGTTGGGGGCCTCGTGGCGGCCACCCGTGGTCCGCGGCATGAGCCTGTGATGGTCACGTGCCCTGGACCTGGACCTCGACCTATGATGGTCGCGGCCCCTCCTCGCAGCGGGCCTGTGATGGTCCCGTGCGATGGATTGGGACCTAGGCCTATGATGGTCACGGCCCGACCTTGCCCTATGATGGGAAGGCTGGTCGCGGTAGATATCGTCGCGGTAGCCGTTGGAGTCGACGTCGCCCCCCGCCTGACGATGCCCACGCCCCTGGTCCGGCATCCTGCAAGCGAGTCTCCTGCGGCGTCGATTGGGGGGTCCTGTGAGCGAGGAAAGTCAGCGACCTGTTCCCTTGGGCAAAAGAGGCAGCGGAGAGGGGAAGCGGGCGAGGGGGGAAGAGGCAGTAGAGGGAAGGAAAGGAAAAAGGAAGGGAGAAAGAGCGAGGCAAGAGCAATGAGCAGGGGGCAGCGGGGCCCTCCCCCTCCCCTTGAGTTCTATGAGTTCAATGAATTCTGTGACAGGCACTGGACGGCCGGCAGGGGACTGAGTCCCGTTCACGGCCCAATCAGGGAGAGCATGCTACGCATGGAATGAAATGAGTAGAAGATGAGGTGTTGGATCCGTGAGTGGATCAGCCTAGACAGTATGAGGATCAGAAGCTATGATGCCTCTGTTGGTTGTGGGTCGGCTATGATGCCAACCTGTGCCCACCCCGTCCCGTCTCCAGGGACTTCGCATCCCCCTTTGATGGCGGGATGGGGAGACGGTCCGCCACCCCCGGCACTGCACGTACTGTGCCGGGTTCGTGGGGATTTTGTTGAATTCAATGAATGTCCCCTCCCTTCCCCCCCGTCCCGTCCCTCTATCTGCATGCCTGGTCCTGCGGGCGGAAAGGCCAGAAACGTATACACAGTTTTGACTCCGAGTCCCGGTGGCGATCCGAACCTGCAGGAGGGAGATAAATTGTAACACGCCGGAGGTCACTTCCTCGACCGTTTAGATTGCCACCAAGAGTTGGCGGTGGGGTAGCCCGGGGACCCCGGCAAAACCAGCCAAACGATAGCGGATGGGCCGGCACGCCGGTTTTAAGCGGATAGGCCGGTACACCCAAAGTTCGCCACTGCTTAGGAGAACCTTCGCCAGTGCTTAGGAGAACACTTCGGCCTCAGAGGCACCGAAATTCGTGATGCGTGCCCCTTCAATGGAAGGAGGAGGAGGAGGCAGAGGGAGAGCCGGACCCACCGATAAGGGAGGGGAGGGAGAGGAGGGAAGGACAGGAGGGATGGGGGGGTAGGGCCCTTTCTGGCCGCGAGCCGACAACCATGCAGCAGGTATTTGTGGGGGCCGATCCACCTCACATGCATCACAGCTGAAATGGCCAGTGGCGGGTGCCCTCACTAGCCCAGCTGTCAAACACTGAAACCGGGTAGCCCGACACCCCCGTCAAGTGGTCCCGGTCGCATTCGCCCCACCCGCCGCGTCCTCGGCGGCGGGGCGGTGGGCGGGCCTCTCGCGGCCGTCTGTGCGAGGGCTCCAGCAGCCCAGGCAGGAGGCGTGGGGATGGGCAGTCGACGGTGGTCGGCCGGCCGGCGTCGGCCGCCCAGCGGGAGGCCGCGACCCAGAGAGATCCAGAGAGATCCAGAGGGTCGAGGGCGTGGCGTCTGCAGGATCGCGGCTTTCGGGGCGTTCGAGGCCCCCGTTCGCCCTCGCCGTCGCTCCTATATGCATGGGTTCCGAGCGGACGGGGTCGGAGGGTCGCACCGCCGATGCATCGACGGTGCGGCTCGATGTGGAGCCCGCGTTTCCCCGCGCCGATGTCGCCGATGCCTCGCCGACGTCGCCAATGCATCGCAGATGCATCGCCGATGCCCAGAGATCCGCCGCTCCCCAAAAATTGGAGCGGCAGGATTTTGGATGTTTTCGGCCTCTGGGGGCCCTCGCCGGGCCTCGGAAGCGTCACAGAACGACTCAGGACGAAGAACCGGCCCTAGAGAAGTGGTCCGAACCTGCGGGGCCCGCGCATCGGAACAATCGGAGCGGTAGGACGTCTGGGTACAATCGCATCGCCGATGCATCACCGATATCGGCGATGCATTGGCGGTGCGGCGCGATTCTTCGACCCCGTCTACTCGGACCCCGTCTCCCAGACATCCGGCTGCCCCAATTTTTTCAATGCGTGGGCACCGGAGGTCCGGACCACTTCCTTAGAGCTGGCTGTTAGTCCTGAGTCGACTCCGGACCAACAAGCGTTCGTCATTTCACGCTCCCTTGGGCCCGCGAGGGCCTCCGGAGGCCGAAAACTGCCGAAATCCCCGCGCTCCAATTTTGGGGAGCGTCGGATCTCCGGGCCAGGAGGCCTCCACGGATGTCCGGGTGCCGTCGGCGGTCGTGGTCTCTCCGCCCTCCCCCGACCCAGACCTCCGGCAGATCGCTGTCTCGGTGCGGGGGGTCCCTGGGGCCGTCGGCCGCCTCCCTTGCGCAAGGCAGGCCTGGGATCGGGATCAGAAGGTCGCTCCAGAGCGTTCCAGACGTGCTCGGGGGAGGACCCCGCCCCAGGGTGGGGGAGGGGGAGTGGAAAAGGGGTGGGCCCTTCCCAGGAGGGAGGGGAGGGGCGGGGGGAGGAGGACGGGAGAGGGAGGAGCTAGGACGATAAGGAGGAGGAGGAGGAGGAGGAGGAGGAGGAGGAGGAGGACAGGAGGAGGACGGAGGAAGGAGGAGGAGAGGAGGGAGGAGGAGGAGGAGGAGGAGGAGGAGGAGGAGGAGAGGGGAGGAGGAGGAGGAGGAGGAGAGGAGGGAGGAGGAGAGGAGGAGGAGGAGGAGGAGGAGGAGGAGGAGGAGGAGGAGGAGGAGGAGGAGGAGGAGAGGAGGAGGAGGAGGAGGAGGAGGGATGGAGCCAGGGTGCAGAGGGACACGGCGGAGGAAGGAGAGAGAGGGGAGGAGAGGAGGAGGAGGAGGAGGAGGAGGAGGAGGAGGAGGAGGAGGACGACGACGACGACGACGACGAGCGAGGCGCGAGGAGGGAGGACGAGCACGAGCACGCGCAGGAGGGGCGAGGACGCCCTTTCCGCCTCAGGGCAGCCTCTTCTTCCTGGCCGACCTGCGCCGCCCGGACTGCGAGCCCGCGCCCCTCGCCCTGCAGCACTCCGCCTCGGCCCCCGCGGTGGTGCCGGGCCGCCCCGCGGAACCCCCGGATGGTCCCGCCGAGGAGGAGCCCCCCCACCTCCTGGACCTCCTCCTCCTCCTCCCTCCTCCACCTCCTCCTCCCCTCCCCATCCCCCATCCCCATCCCCATTTCCTTCTCCTCCCCTCTTCCTCTTCGTCCTTCTCCTCCTCCTCCTCCTCCTCCTCCTCCTCCTCCTCCTCCTCCTCCTCCGCCTCCTCCTCACCTCCTCTCCGCTGCCTCCTCCTGCTTCCTCTCGCCTCCGCCACCCTTTCTCTGCTGGGCGAAGGCGAGAGTTGCCGGCCCACGGGCGTGTCTCGTCTTACCGCTCACCGCATACGTTCCGCCTCTTTTCTCCCATTTCATCCACCTTTTTTTTCTCCTCCTTCTCCACTCCTCCTCCACTTCCACCCCCTTCTTATCTCTCCTCCTCTTCCTCCTCCTCCTCCACCTCCTCCTCCTGCTCGTGCTCCTCCTCCTCCTCCTTCTTCTTCTCCTCCTCTTTCTTTTGACGCTGCGCAAACTCAAGGACTGATCCACCCTCCCCTTCTGTTTCTCCTTCTCCTGCTCCTCCTCCTCCTTCTCCTCCTCCTCGCCCTCCCCCTTTCAATCGCCATTATCCTCCTCCTCCTCCTCCTCCTCCTTCTCCTCCTCCTCCTCGCCCTTCCCCTCCCAATCGTTATTATCCGGCTCCTCCTCCTTCTCCTCCTCCTCCTCCCCATACCCTGACGCATTCTGGCCATGGCGCAGCATTTGGCAGACACCTGGCCCAGGCCTCGCGCCTTCACGAGGTGCTTGGGGTCCAACGCTTCTACTGGGCGAAGACGTCCGTGTTGACGAAAGCGAGGCATCAGTTTTCAGCAATGTCGGGTATAGGCCCCATAGTATGGTCGACGTGCAAGTGCTGCAACACGCACGAGTGTAATCATGTTTTGAAGAAGGCAGGCGGGAAGTGTCGCACATGTGGTCGCCCAGTTGCCCTTTACAAGCCCAAGCCCAGGAGAGGCAGTCAGTCAGTCATGAAGGAGGCCGACACGCCTGTGGGCGGCCAGGGTAAACAGCATAGGAGCACGAGCAGCACCGCAGAGCAGGGTGCCGCCAAGCTCCTTGACCAGACCATCGCCGCCACCACAGATGAGTCCATCAAGCAGGTGCTCATTGCCCAGAGAGCGTTGTTGGCGGCGCAGCAGGGTGCCTCCTCCTCCACTCCAACTCCTGTTGCGCCGTCTGAGGCAGACAGGAGAGCGGAGGGGGCCTGGCAATATGCAGGCGCCAAACACCTCCAGGTCGTTAAGCATGTTTTGCGTTGCAAAGAGAACCTCGCCCGAGACGAAGACCGTGAGAAGGAGACGGCGCTGGCGCTGGCACAGGCGACCCTGGCGAGGCAGATGGCGGTCAAACCGCTGTCGGGAGTTGTCCTGGACAGCGCAGCGGCACCCCCAAGAAGGAGTTCTTCGAGGTGAAGTGGGACACTGCCTTCTTCGAGGCGCCCGACTCCATGGAGATGGTGGAAGCAGAGAGGAAGGGTTCAAGGCCCTTGAGGAGCAGCTCAAGCAGACGAAGGAGTCCATGGCCCTGCGTTTGGAGGAAGTGCAGCAATGGCTCGAGCGCACGCAGGCATGCAGAAGACCGTGGAGGAGCGGTCCTCCAAGAAGAGGAAGACGGAACATGCGGATGGTGGTAGTGCAGTGTCTGAAGGTGCAGCGGCTCCAGCGGCTCCCTTGATGGCGGCGCCCCCCTCCGATGCGGCGAGCACTGCGCTGGCGCCCAGCGGGGTTTCCACGCCGCCGCCAATTCAGGAGGAGATCGAGAGGGAGGCAGCGGTCCTGAGCGAGGCACGCCTCAAGGCCGAGGCGGCCAAGAGGGCAGCCGAGAAGGCAGCCGCAGGCGCTGCCGCGGGCGGCAAGTCGAGCAAGTGATCTGTGCAGACCGCAGCTGGCATCGATGGTCCCGAGCCAGCAGCAGCCAGTGGGCACGCACCAGCTTGCCGTGACACGAGCATTGGGACCTACACCTCACCCTTCCTCTTTTCCAAGGGCGTGGAGTTCGGCGGCAGTCCAGCGACTCCTCCTACATCTTCCTCTCCTGCAGCTTCTGACAGCGACGGGGGCGATGAGTGCGGCGCGCTGTATTTTGCCAACGCGCTACCGCATTCGACAAGAAGGCTTGGTCGCGTGTCACCGCGAAGCTAGCTAGCCGCTCGTTTGGGTTCACGGGGTTCGTTGAGGGTCACATCGGGGAGACCCTCAAGCAGAAGTGGGGCGGCAAGCTCACGGCGCAGAAGCTCAAGTCGTTCTTTAATCTCGCCCGTGACACGGGCCGCGGCAGCAGTGAAGCTTCGCCCTGCAGGGCCAAACGAAGGAGAGCTGCTTCTTGCCCGACATCTTCGAGTGCACCAGTTTCCGATCGAGTCGGGGCGCGTGTCAGACTTGCGCGCAGATGGGCACGCCCGTTTCGACGGTTTCCTGCTCGCGACAGTGCACCTCCAGTTTTTCGCGCTGGTGTTGGCGCACTGCTACGTCCACGCGTCAGCGGGGGCGGGCGGCCGCAATGCGCCGCGCCTGTCCAGGCTCGGCGCCTTCCTGCGATCGCTTCGTTTGCCGCGGTTGCGCGCGGGAGATCTCAGCGCGTCCCCCGACGAGCTGCGAGCTTCCAAGTGTCCGAGTCGCGCGCGCGGGCAAGCTCATCATGCGCCCGACGAGTGCACTTGCAGCGCGCGTTCGGGCAAACGTCTGGCCGACTATGTTACTGCAGGTCCCGGCAGCGGCAGTTTCCTTGTCGACTGTGCTCTCGGAGCTCGCATCGGGCAGTCTTGTACGCAGCGCGAGGCGCGGAGTCTCATCGCGGATCCGAAATTGCCGCAGTCAGTCCGCCCAGGCCCATTGCCGACTGCGGGGCCCAAGTCCAGCGTTGCCGTGGTCGAGCGCGGTGCCCGAGCAGCCTGTGCCAAGGAACTGGCTATGGCGGCAGCATGCGCTGTCTTTGGCGATATGGTACCCATCCCTGGAGCTGCTGAAGGGCCGCCAGTTTTTGTCCTACCCGTCGGCATGCGCTGGTGATACCTTGTTAGGGGCTGCGTTCGAGCCCGAAAGGAAACCCCAACAAGGCCCGACGAAATTTGTTTGTTTCAGCTTTCCACTGCTCAAGCCGAGGCCGTTCAGGGTAGCCTTCAGGCAGATAGCGCGAAGGGTCTCAAGTTTTGAGCGTCGCACCCTGGATCCCCCCTGAGCAACGAGGCGCGCAGTCTCAGCGGCCCGACGCAGCCCCCCCACCCCCCCCCCCCCCGCCCCCCCCCCCCCCCCGCTTCCCGCAGATTTCCAGCACTGGCATGTCGTGGAAACGCGCATGAAGCTTCCCCCAAAGGAAGTCTCTCAGCCCCCGTCGTTCCACATCCCATCTCGCTGGTGGGTTTGTTGTTCAAGCCTGTTGTAGCGTCTCATCTCCCCAATGCAATGTAGAGTGCGCCAGCTGGCCATTGATTCAAGCGTCGATCGCGCCTCAGGTTGGTGGCCCGCATGTCGAGCATGCAGCCGCCGAGTACGCTCTGCGGGTTACATGCGTCGAGCAGGCCATTTCCGCTTATCGCGATATTCCGCCGTCTCCAGCGCCGAGAACTTCGGGCCCCGCGCCGAGGCCAGAGTTGGCGCAGCAGGCCATGACATTCAGGGGTGCCCCTCTAAATGACGAAGTCTCTAACTGGTAGATGCGAGTTTCCCTGGTGCTTCTTCGAGCGCCGCGGCGCAAGCAGCGACGCTCTGGCGACAGGCAGTTGTCCTTTCCAGGTCAGAGTTGGGCATGCGTTTGGCAGGGGGCGAACCAGAAGGCGCTCGCGCATGTATTCAACCTGCTCAAGCCCTTGACTTGAACGCCTGGCTGCATTTTCTCAGGCATGGCTTTGAACGCCCTCAACTACAGTTGGGTTATTGCGCGCAGGGTGCGCATGCAGCTTCGAGAAGGGGCCGCCAGGAGACCCGGCAAGAGTCGCTCAGGGAGCTTCGCGATTGGATTGTTGCTGATCCGGAACCCCAGGATGACATCCACATCGGGCGGGCAGCGCGTCTTTCGCCCGCGGGGCGTTATCGACGAACAAAGCAAGAGATGGCATTGTCTGTGGCATGATCACCAGTTCGACCTCGGGAAAGTTGAGCAATACTTTGGCCATGTGCGCGCGCAGGAAGCCGTCGACGCATTGATGGGGGGGAGGTGCAAGAAGCGTTGCCAAAGATGAAGCCCAGGGCAGGGCCGGGCATCGACCAGCCCACGCTGGGACGTGGGCAACGCAGCTGCTCATCGCGCCGGGGCGTCTCTTGCCCCGGAAGTCGGGGGGGGGGCGGGATCAGCGGCATCTTGGCCATGGCCTTCAGGGTCTGGTCTCTGGCGCGGGAAGTGCACGCGAGAAGCTGGGCCACAAGCCACCTTGACGAGTGAGACGCCGCCATCGTTGGCAATGCCGCAATTCAGGAGGCGTTCGCGAAGGCAGTTGATCATGACTGGTTTCACGGGTTGGGAGCAGCTCATGGTAGTGCAGCATTAGACATCAAGTCATTATATTATCACGCTGGGTGGAGCAAGCTCGCATGAGCAGCGGTCGACCTGGCGTTTCCAGGCACTGAGCTGCTTCTCGAGCTTCAGCTCTGCGCTGGACCCAGATTTTTGTTCCAAGTCGGTGCGCAGTCACAACCAGTCCAGGTAGCGCGCAGCATTGTGCAGCGATTGCGAAATGGAGCTCGTTTCGGCCGCTGTCTCGCGCCTTTTGTCAAGGGAGCTCTGCGTCGTGCGAGAGTGACTTCGATTCAAGGGATATGGGTTGACGATCTACACCTTGGTCAGAGAGGCAACAGTGTCGTGGCCAGGCGCGCGACGGTGGACGGCGTCGCGCCTGCGCGGGGCGAGCTGCGCGACAGGGGGCTGACCTCTGCCGCGAAGGGCGCGGCGCTGCGCGGGCCCATGTCCGACTCCAAGGCGGCGGAACACCCGTTGAAGAGCAGAGGCGTCGCGATCCTGGCCGCCGGGCAAGCGGGGCACTTGGGCATCGATCTCGGTGGAGG